GCTCTCCGAGGTTACGCCTCGTTGCCGCCAGTGCTGCCTCGTGGGCGCCTCGCGGGCGCCCAGTGCGATTGGTGGGTTTTCCGAGGTTGCGCCACATTGCCGCCCGTGCCGCCTCGTGAGCGCCTTGCGGGCGTCCCGTGCGCTGGGTGGGTTTTCACGAGGTGGCGCCACGTTGCCGCCCGTGGCACCTCGTGGGCGCCCCGTGCTCTGAACTTACACCACATTACTTTCGTAGGTTGCATCGCATAGCTCACACAACATGGCATACATCACGCAGCGTACACCAATAGGTTGCACCTCCAGTTCACACCGCGTAGCTTACACGACTTAGCTTACACCGCATAGCTTACACCGTACTACTTTCGCCAAGACAGCTGACACATCATTGTTTGCACGACACAGCATTTATCTCTAGTTTACACCGCATAGCTTTCACCTCACCGTGCAATAACGCGCTGTGTGGGACGCACGTTTGCTAACATGTCAGGGGAAGTATTGAGGCTCAATTCTGTGTTAATGGCCTCCGGTTTACAACAACAGGAACAATAACAACACCCTTAATTTTTATATTGTTCGACCGTATTTGTTCGCGCCCCATGCAACACATATCCAAAACCCTTAGCACCCGTCCTTTTCGTCTTCGATCGTACCCTCATGTGGGGCATATCTTCCTTACCCGCCACGTGTATTTGGCGTAGCCTCTAAAGCAGGGGAAGAGAGGACGGATTGAAGGAAAGGACAGGGGGAGAGAGAGAAGCTAGGAGCAATAGAGAGATTAGCAGGAGGGGCCAATCCGGGTCGCAACATTTTTCTTTCTCAGAAATCAGGTGCGAGCCGGGGAGGAGCATTTCAGCTGAGAAACACAATGGGCACCAAGGGGAGGGGACAAAGTTTCGGCTTCCGCCTGATACATCGTCGCGATCTACTTAACTCGCGCTCCCGTTCGATATTTTGCAGCAGATAATCGCACTCTCGCGTAGGGCTTCCTCGCAATTTACGCAGGCACTGCGCTCTCGACGTCCAGCAATCGCGCTCTCGCACGAGACGTCCTTACAATTTGCGTATGATTCGCATTCTCGCCTGAAGCGGCTTCGCAATTCACGACATTCGCTTAGTCCCCCGCCCGACCCGCCCGTCAGGGCCCGCCCGCCCCGCCCGTCGGGGTCCGCCAGCCCGACCCGTCCATGTATGCCCGCCCGGTCGCGTGCTTGAAACTCCGCCCGCTTGCTTTGATGTTCCGCACGCCCGACCCGCCAGTTGGGGTCCGCCCGCCCAGCCCGCCCGTTAGGGTCCGCCCGCCCGACCGACCCGCCTGTCAGTGTCCGCCCGCTCGCGCGGCCCCGCCTGTCACGGTCCTCCCGCCCGACCCGCCCGTTGGGGCAGGGCCGCCCATCAGGATATGGTTCCCATAATTACGGTCCTTCTCTCCTCGCTCTCTTGGGTTTTCTGTTCCTCTTTCCTCCTCACCATAGTCTCTTGTCCGTGGCAACTACACGTGGCTGGCAAAGAAGATAGACCCTCAATGGGGGCACGATCGAAAACGAGTAGGGAGGGCATCGGAGATTCGGGGTAGACATGTCGAGTGACACACGGACATCAAAAAGTGAGCAGTTTTTTATTGAGTGTTGTTTGTTTTAAGATCGTATTTTCTAATTGTGTTGCAATTAGTCAAGTTTGTTGCAGTCGCATTCTGAAAATAAGTGTCCCCCCTCCGGTGTCAATTGTGTTATTTCCATTTCAAGTGCCCCTCTGGGGGCTCGCACACTGTCTTTTACAAGAAGGTCTTGCGCATCAGACTAAGTTGCTGGCCCCCGGTTTACAATAACGCCTCCCGCCAGATATGTTTCACAATTTATTAGAAAATATCGTTCTGCTGTCGCGTGGGACGACTTCCCAACTTATTCAAACGCCGCGCCCTCTTCACTCTGAAGTCATGCTACTGTCTTGGACTTCCTCATCAGAACTGCGCTATGTCTCGACACTTCCTCGCGATTCATGCAGGACTGGCGTTCCAGCGACCCGGCCGCTCGCTCCGGCCGTTTGGGCCCTCTTGCCCGACCCGCCCGTTGGGGTCCGCCTAGCCGAGCCGCCCGTCTGGTTCTGCCGCTTGTTTCTGTTCCGAACCTCCCACCTTCTAATCTCTCTCTCTCTCTCTCTCTCTTTCTCTTCTTCAATCTTCCTCTCTGACCGTACGTTTATTGATGACTCCCCTTCTGGTGCCCACTGCAATCTCGAGCTAGTCGCGGCCGCGCTCAGGCGGGCGGTCGCGCGAAAATTAGCTTTACCGCGAGCTGCTCAGCCTCAGTCTTGGAGCTCGCAGACCTCTTGTCGAACTCCCCGAGCGCCTTCCGCAGGGACACTGGCCCGCGCTTCAGGAACCCTCGCGAAGGCGACCGCAGGACCAGCATGTTCCGCGTGCGCGTGGCGCGGGAGAACACGACGTAAGGTTGTAGCCACCACTGCTCGTTCGACATGCCCATGCGGCCCGCGTCCTCATCCCTGGCGCAATCGATGGTGACGCCATTGCGCGCTTCTGGCCCTGCGACAGCCTGAAGGTGGGGTACGACGCGTGCGTCAGGGTGGGTGACCCCCGAGCGGCGCACGACGTGCGACCCCGAGCCCTTCCTTGTGATCAGTTCGTTGGGCCTGAACATGAGCAAGCTCCTCGCCCACGCCTAGGCCTCGCCGGCGTCGTCAACGCTTTCGGCGCCCTGTGGCAGCAGCCCGGCGACTTCCACGTAGATTGGACAATCTTCGAAGCCGTGCACCTGCAACCAGATCTTCTGCGGCTTCCATCCTTTTCCCTCCCCGTTGCCCCTTCCCTCCTCCCTCCCTTTCCCTGTAGTAGGGGCTGCGCCAGTTAACTATACGTAGCATGTAAGATCACATCCCCCCACAAGCGGGCACGGTCAACGACAAGGAGGGCGGGTATCGAGGGTTTGGGGTGTGCAAGATAAACGACCCTCGATCATATCAGAGCCAACAGTCTAAACAATGGTTGTTGTTCGTTGTTCTCGCCCGCGACCGGCCCCCGACCCGACCGCGACCCAGCCGCGACCCATCCGCGACCCGCCCGCGACCGGCCCGCAACCCGCTCGCGACCCACCCACGACCCACTTTCGCCCGCGAGCCACCCATAACATTTTGACAAACTAATCGGTGCTTGCGGCAGACTCTTTTTGTAATGTGTTCAAAGAGTTGGCGCCCGCGGTTGGCTGCTCCAAATATGCTGTCGAGCCTCGCAGAATGCCCATGACCCCACCCCGCCTCCTCATTCCTAACCGCAGCTGCGGGGGTTATCTTGCTGCGCCGACTGCCGATTAGATCCAGGATGGGACTCTGCTCATCGACGACCGGGACAACCTTCGCCTGCCCCTCGTAGACAGCGCGCACAAGGAGGTGGCAAACGGTAGAAGTGCTAGACGGTAGCAGTTTCCTGACCCCCTCGCGTCGTGACAAAAGTCACGATGCTATGGGTTCGTTCTGAATTGTTTTTTGCAGTCGCGACCTTTTCTGTCGTTCTCTCTACCTCTATCTCTCCCTCTCTCCGACCTCCCCAGCCACGCCGCAGGTGCCCACAGACCCTTCTCAGTAGCATCCGTGGCTTATGCCTCGAGGCGCGTCTGCACACGACAGCGTAATTATTTGTGGCGAGCAGGTTCAGCGTCATTCATGCGATCCACAGGCCATGCAGAAGTAGTGCGACATCCTTCCAGCAGGTGCCCCGTGTGGGCGGTCAGCTGACTTTTGAAGAACATTCCGGCAGAGTTGGGTCTAAGCGATGGGTGCGGGGCCTGGGCTACAGCGCGCTCACAATGGGCATCCCCGCTCCAGAAGCAATGGCCTGCGCAAGAATATGGATGGACACTTACCGCCCGCATGCAAAGCCGCGAAGACGCGCGCGGCAGGTCTTCCTGCCAGAGTTTGGCCGAGATTGGTTGTGACCGCTCCAGCCCCATCGTGCCTTCAGGAAGGCAGGCCCTCATGATTGCGTGGGCACCTCCTTTGTGTGGACTGGAACTCCTGTTCCCCCCCCCCCCGGGTGGTACATTGAGGAGTATGTGACATGCGCCGTTCCATCACGCGGCAAAGCGTCTCCTTCGCGCGTGCATGAACTAAAGCTTTCAGCGAGCGCAGGCGAGTATAGCATTAGTTACAGTATCCAGTGGTCTTCGGCTCATTACGCCAACGTGCGTGGGTTGTCGGGCAGAGGTGTGTTGGATGCCCCCTCGGGTTACCTTGGGATGCCTCTCGGGGGCCTCTTGGAAGCTTCTCGGGGATCTCTTGGGGCTCCCTGGGGTCTCTTAGGAGCCCGCTCTGGGAGTCTCTTGGGGGCGGCTATTGGGAGCCTGCTTGTGGTCTCGGAGGCCATCGTGCGGAAAAGGGGCAGAAATGTCTTCTCGGGTCCCTTGTCTCTTAGGGGCCCTCTTGGGCCGCCTTGGGGCGGTCTGCAGGGCCTCTTGAGTCGTCTTGGGCTGCCGGGAAGCGAGAACGCTAACATCATTCAACCATTTACACAGGGATCCATTCATTTTACCTCTTGGCGCCGTCTAGTGGGTGCTCTAGGGGGCCCTCTTGGGCCGTTTTGAGGGCATCTCGGGCCGTCTTGAGGCCACCGTGTGCGTCTTTGAGCGCTCTTGGGCCGTCTCGGAACTCTCTTGGACCGCCTTGGCCGCCTTGGGGGCTCTCTTCGGGCCCTCCTGGGACAAGTTCTGCGAGGAACCCAGGGATCAGGTCAGGCGCCAGCTCGCGAAACCGCCCAGGACTCCAGGCTCGTGGTCCCTTGCAGAAATACAGAGGCCTCTAGGGGACCTGCAGATACTCCACTCAGTGCCTGCGGCGCGGTGGCGCACCAGTTACAGCTTCGGTTATGACCCTGTGCGTCTTTATCCCTTGCTCTTGTATACTTCTACTTTGTCACCTCGCTGGCCGATGACGACCCAATCCTGGACGACCCATCCTACGCAGCCATTTGCAAGTGCGGATGGCGGATAGCGCAGAACACGCCTCTCTCTCTCTCTCTCTCTCTTACTGTGCAGGATTATTGCCACCAGGGCCTTCGGTGGAGCTCTCATGGGGCCCCGAAAGGTGTGGGGTGTGTGCCGACATGAGCGACGGGAACGCATGCGAACATGCCCACCAGCGTCTTCTGCGGAGCTCCTTGTGGGTCCTCGAATCGCGTGAGGGGTGTGCTGATATGGGCGGCGGGTATGTAAATAGAACTTGCCCACTGGGGCCTTCGGTGATGCCCCCACGTGGGGCCACGAAATGTGAAAGAAACTTTGCTGCTGGAACTCATGCGAACGTGTTCAGTCGTGCTTTCGGCGGATTGCCCTTTTGGGCCACGAAGCGTGTGAGGGGAGCGGGGGCGGGAGCGCGTGCGGACTTTGCCATTGGGGCCTTCGGCAGAGCTCCTCATAGGACCACGAAGCGTGTGAGGGGTGTACCCAAATAGGTGGCGGGAGCGCACGCCACTGGGGCCTTCGACGGAGCTCCCTATGGGGGGGCCACAAAGCGTGTGAAGGGCGTGCAAGATTTGACGGCGGGAGCGCGTGTGAACGTTTTCTTCGGGAGCCTTGCGGAGCTGTTTATGGGGCCGCGAAGCGTACGAGGGGTGTGCCAAAATGGTTTGCGGGAGCGCATGCGAACTTCACGCGAGGTTCACCATTGGGGCTTTCGGCGAGATTCCTTGTGATGCCACGAAGCATGCGAGGGGTGTTCAAAAATGGGCGGGAAGAAACGCACACGAATTGTACTTGGGGTCTTCAGCGTTGCCCGTTATGGTGCCACGAAGCGTGTGAGGGGAGGGGAACCGACATGATCACCAGGAGCGCATGCGAACTTTGCCATTGGGGCGTTCGGTGGAGCTCCATGGGGGACCGACACGTGTGAAGAACTTTGCCATTGGGACCTTCGGACAGAGCCACCTGTGGGTCCACGACGCGTGTGGGGTGTGCCGATTTGGGCGGCGGGAGCGCATGTGAACTTTGCCACTGGGGCTTTCGGGCATAGCTCCCTGTGGGTCCACGAAGCGTGTGAGTGGTGTGCCGATTTGGGCGGCGGGAGCGCATGCGAACTTGTCAATTGGGCCCTTCGGGCAGAGCTCCCTGTGGGGCATGCGAACTTTACCGCTGGGGCCTTTGGTACTCTGGAATCCAGGTGCCTTGATACCTGTCCTCGTTGCCACCCGGCATCCCTGGCATCATGGTGTCTTGGAATCTTGGAATCTGGCATCATCACCGTCGTTGGTCGTCGATGGTCGCGTACATGTGTACCAAAGAGATCCCAATGTGGGGTTGCACCGTCGGAGCAACTCTGTAAGTTTCCTTCCGACCCTCGCAGGGATTGTGGCCCCAGGCGTGTTCGCTAAGATGTTCTGAGTGTTCGAAGTGTAGATGCTGGGAATAAGTGCTGCCTTTTTTAGTTTGGTTTGTAATGGTTATCGTTCAGGGATCTATGCTTGGCTATGGCCCTCAACATTCCGCACACTCCAGCTTCATTGTTCTCCTGATCATGTTAGTTTTTCATCTACTCAGCGCCGCCGTTCGCCTGATGAGCTCAAAGATGTCCGAGCAACAACTCACTTCACAACTCTTCTCACATAGTCTCAAATGTCACAGTGGCCTCCCCCCCGCCCGGCCAGGCCCTCCCGCAAGCAAGGGTCGTCGGTCGCGGGGGGTCTCACCCAGCGGCCATCGTCTCCAGAGCCCATCCCAAGGACATGGCCAACGAGGGAGGGCCCCTGTCGGGAAAAGCACGTGTCCCCCGTCGGGCCCAGTCGTGACTGGAGCATGTTGCCGTGGGAGCGGGAGGAGGAGCATGTGGAAGGTAGAGAAGGAGGATGAGAAGAGATGGAGAGGGTTAGGAGGAGGAATCATAATAGAAAGAGGAAGAGGCACAGGAGGAATAGTTGGAGGAGGAGCAAGAAGGAGGAGGAAGAGGAGGAATACGAAGAGAAGGAAAACGAGGAGGGAGAGAGGGGGAGGGGAGGGGGCGGAAGAGGTGGAGGAGGACGAAGTAGACGAGGAAGAGATGGAGGATAATGACAACGAGGTGGATGAGGCCGAGGAAGAGGTGGAGAGGGAAGGAGTGGAGGTGGAGGAAGAGACTGAGGAGGGGGAAAAGTGAGGGGCTAGGGCCCAGGAAGGAGAAGCACGGAGGCCCCGGGCGGGCTTCCAGCATCCTCTGTCAGACTGTGCCTGCGCCGCCGCATTCTTCGGCCCAGGAGGGTACCAGCCGTACACATGCGCCGATTTTGGCCAGGCCCATCTCGGGCCCAGGATCGGTCTGGCCAGGATCGGTGCAGGAGTATAGAGCTGGTGCCCTCCGACGCCCGCCCGTGTCACCGTGGCCCTCGGTGTCTGTCGCTCGAGGGCTCCCCGGGTGCAGCCCGCTTCCCCCGCTCCTCCGCTCGCCCTCTCCGCCGTTTATTCTCTCCTCGAGCTCGAGCTGGTGGCTGGTGAGGTCCTGGCGTGTTCGTAGAGTTTCGGGCCCCGGGACCCTCACGGAACAATCCGGCTCCAAAAATGGCGCGGAGAGATGGGCCTTTCCCTCCCCAGAGATCCGACTTTCGAGTTTTTCGCTGCGGGAATACCCGGAGGTGCCGACCCTTTCACGGCAGGTTTTCCATCCAGAGTCGTGTTGTGACGGCCCCGGGGCCAGCGAGGGTCCGCAGAGGCCGAACAAGGGTAGAAATTTTAGCATTGTATAGATTGTTCAATGCCTTGAGATTCGAAGTCGCCCAACAAAATGTAAAATCGCGAACAATCACGGCCAGAGCCCTAGACCCCACAGTCGTTCAGCATCTCTCGAGCTGGGTTGACCTGTGAGGGCTCCAGTCGAAAACGCCCGGCGTGGCAAAAGGGCAATGCCCAGATTTCAGGATGCGTTGGAGGTTTGGCCAACCGTCCTCCCCCCAGAGCTCCGACGATCAGATGCTTTCGATCCCAGCCCTTTCCCTCGATTTCAGCCCTCGGGGGCCGCTCTCGGGCGGGTCATCAAAAACTAAACTGGGCCGAACAAAATGGCCCTGGGGAAGGGGTCGGCACCCCGGGGCCGCGCATTGAAGAAGACACACCGGAGAATGGCTGGGCCTCAGCCCCATCGATCCGATGTTTCGATTTTGTTGAACCCGGGGTGCCCAGAAGTTCCGATCCTTTGCCCAGGGCCGGTTTTTCATCGGTGACTCTTTTTGTTGACGGTCTGGGGGCCTGGAGAGGGCACCAGAGGCAGAACATTGCGAAACGAATCCGTCTTGATGTTTCCCATACGTTGGATCTTTGGGCCGGCACCCCCCAAACATGCTCAGGTAAGTTATGCGTGCGTCGGCCACGCAAGTGCGACGCACACGCTCGGAGTGTTTTGCAGTAGAAGCTCATTGGCGAGCGCTTTCTGGCCGTTCCGCTCGGGAAGCGATGCACTCAAAGATGTTGTGATATACGTTCGGGTCGGACGTGGGCCTCCAACAGGGGCGCATATCTCTAGTGTGTCCGCATGCGTCCCGTTGGGCCCCTCCCTCCCTCAGCCGTGCGCCGTGGCCGAGCACGCCCCCGCCGGCCCTGGCAGCACGAGGGGCCGCCCTATAGGCGCGACCAGCGCCCTGCCCCGCTGCCCGAGCCGGGCCCTTTGCAAACGATGGGCGCGGCCGGCCGCGCGGGCCGCGCGCGGCCTTGCCCCATTGGGCCGCGGCGGCGGGGCCAGAAAGGAGCCCAGCATCGGCCTGAACATAAACTTTTTCGGAGGTCCGCGCGTATCTCCTGGATCGGCGCTGTGCCGCCCCTGGCGGCGCTTCCGGCGCCGCCCCTGGCGCTTCAGAGGGGGATCCATGAAATCCGCGCGAACCGTCGATATATATATATATATATATATATATATATATATATATATGTGTGTGTGGGGGGGGGAGGGACAAGTATGCTCTATGCGTCCCTCCCCCTCCCCCCCCACCCCTCTCTCCTCCCCTCCCCCTCCTCTCCCATCCCCCCACCTTCCCACTCCCCTTCCCTGCCCTCCTCCTCCTCCTCCTCCTCCTCCTCCTCCTCCTCCTCCTCTCTCCTCCTCCTCCTCCTCCTCCTCTCCCGTCCCCTCCTCCCTCCCTCTTCTTCTCTCCCTCTCCTCGCCCTCCCCTTCGTTCGTCCCTCCTCTTGGGGCCCCACTTGGGGCTATATTGGACCGTCTTGGGGCCATCTTGAGGCCTCGAGAGCCCATCCGAGGCGAAAATGCTAGAAGGCAACAAACATTGATTTTCTGTGGTTGAAAGACTTTCGTCTCTTGGGGGGTGTCCTTGGAGGGCTCGGAGGGCCCTTGAAACTATCTTGGGAACAACCGTAGTTTTGGAGGGACACCCGCACGTTCTTCGAATCGGGGCCTTCTGCCTTGGAACGGCATTCGCTTTTCGCATCCCTATGTGGCCATCGGCGAAGGGCATCGTGTTTAGAACCCGCGTTCTTGCGGCCGCGCGTCGACGTTACAGTCAAAACCCATCGTAAGGATGCAGGGCCCTTGCGCGGGCACTCTTGCATCCTGGCCTTTCTCAAACCTATCCCAGCCAATGTTGACGTTGAAGCACGTCCGCATTGGAATCCCAAGGACCTTGTATCCTTTACTCGCGGCTTCACCATAATTGTTGTTAGCGGTATTCGAACACTTGGTCCCTCGTCCTCATCGGAAGCAGGCTGAAGTCTATCGCCAGGCAGTGGAAGTAAAGCAATGATGGTGTCGTCGACGGATCCCGGCGGAAGTAACCTCCCCAAGAGAGGTCAACGTCAGGCCGTAACCATTTTGGCTCAAGCTTCTGCCGCGACGCCTGCGCGTCGGATCTTGTCCCGCATCCCCCGCAGGCTCGCTCGCAGCATTGGCGGCCCCTTGCTCCGCCATACTGGTTTCACCATCAACTTGCGTTTCTTGCATTTACCTGCAAGCCGACCGCGCTTGAGGATGAAACGGGACTTACGGGAACATGCCCAATGGCTTGATGAAGAAGCACCACCTGATCGTGATC